CTGACACTGGAAAGTGCTCTTTTATACAGTTATTAATTATCTAGATGAACATAATGGTACTGGGGTATGTACTATTCATTAGTAGTAGGCTATTATGATGAATCTGTCAAGGTTAAAGGCGACTGGAAGGATTTTTGACTGTGTTGTTTTATCATCAGTAGATGTGAACATGTTTACTGACATACAGTGTATGTGTGTATGTGTAAAATATAGTGTCTATTTCGACATTATTGTGTGTAATAAGTGTATGAACAAACCTGGTTATAGAAAAACATCATTCACATTCTAGAATTCAGCTCGTGTTTTCACAACCATGGTTGCCTTCCTATGCAGTTAATTTTCTGACAGAAAATAATGCAAATGGGTACTTAAAATTACAAGTAAGACGAGACAGGCAACTAGTGTAATTGATATAGATCTGATAAGATTTAGGAAGACCTTAACCTTACATTGTGTCATTCACTTATCTGGCTCTCAGTAGATTATTATTAAAGTAAGACTTTTTTCTTCTTTAATTTTCTTATTCTTGTTGTTTTTATTTGAAATATCTCTCTCCCTCCCTTTCTCCCTCCCCCTCTCTCTCTGCCTCTTTCTCTCTCTCCCCCTCCTCTCTCCCCCTCCTCTCTCTCTCTCTCTCCCTCTATCTCTCTCTCCTTCTATTTCTCTCTCTCTTTCTCTATCTGTCCCATACCCTCTCTCTCTCCCTCTCCTTTCCCTATTCGTTTTCATCTTCATCTCTCTCCTTCCTCACTCTATAGATCTGTTATCTTTCATTGTCCTGTTCTCTCTCTCTCCTTTTCTCTAGTTTATCCCTCACCATTATTACTCTCTCATCAAACATTTATGACTGTGTATGATCATACAGCATATCTATAAACAGTCTCGGCATGAGTAACATTCTCAAGAGCAATTATTGGTTGCTACTGTAGAAAGACATGATCCTTTGAAGAACAAAAATGTAATGTACTGGCAGTTACTGTTCATGTTATCTGTTTATTTAAGTTTAGTTTACATTACCCAGTACTATGTTAGCAACAGTTCTCTATTTCAAAATACTCTACAAGATAACAAAGCACGTTTTAATTCATTTATTTACCACTATTGGGATGGGACACCCTGATCAGCATGAATGTTGTATTTTCTTCACAATTTTATGATTATGATTACATCATCATCATCATCTTCATCGACCATTAATCATCAGTCACCATCTTTAATCACAGGTATGATAAGCAGTATAATTATGAATGGTTTATTGCTCATTTTTCGTTGCCTGTTTGAGCTCCCATAATCCTCACAACAAGAGTGTTGTTAGACTGTGCTGCCACTGTAGCGTAAGGAGGGACCCTTCAAATGGTTTCACACCTATTCTAAATGAGAATCTCCCTGCAAATGATGGGTCAAATCGGTAGGGACCGTCTGCATGATAAGGTGTGAAGTAAGCATTGGCCAGTTCACACATAGCTGGGTTTGTCCTAGATATTGAATCGTCATGAACCTACTGTAATGTGAAGTGTGCTAGCTGATTGGAATGCACAGTACAGTTTTAATATGTACCCAGCTACTCATGAGAGCATTATGGTGGATCACTATTTCGAATGCAATTGCTGCTGAGAGCTCTAGCAAAAGTAAGAAAAATAGAGATATGATAAAAAATATTTTGGATTTAAAATGGGTTGAATGGATCAGAGGTTTCTGAGACAAACTCCTTCATATACATTTGTAGATGCAGATGTCTGTGGATGTTTTAAGTGGTGTACTTTCACTATGGTATTAGCTTCACTTGAGATGTTGGGGTGGGGCAGTTTAAATATGGCTACACAGTTCATCACATTGATACCTGTCATTTGAATGACTTGCATCTTCTTGATAAAACCAGCAAGTTCATGTATGTTATAAACAGTGAGAGAAAAGAGACATATAATCTGTATTTCCTAAACAAAAGATTCTTTTACTCTTGTAAATAGAGACATTAACATCCATTTGTGAATACCTGTCATAACTGACTGTGCAAGACTACATGTACACCTAAGGCATCATGTGTTATACAGTGTTGACAGCATGCATTACGATATGGCTTCTTTCTCTATTTGAATATTTGATGCATTTGTGCGACAGACATAGAGCCAATGACGTCATAGAGTGAGATAGTATTCCCCGTTCTCTCATCCTTGGTTTAGAGCCAAAATAGCCCAAAGTAGAGCCGCGAGCAACATTCATGTTTGTTCTTTACCATTCCTGACTAATGCAAGGTGGAGGGAGGAGAAGAGAAGAGGAAGAAACTTGATAGCATCCTGAGTGCATGTCGGTCGGCTTTCTTGCTTGTATTTCGATCATGAAACTGTATGAGTCGCGGAAATGACATCCCCTTGGCGAGTATTTGACTGACATCTTTTTGTTGTTGTGTTTCTCAGGTTCCTTATATAGGAGCAACCATTTAATGAAAAGACAAAAAAACGTGGAAGGAAATTGAATTCTGGTTTTGTTTCATCTGTGCCAAGCTAGGATGAGATCCCTTTACAAATTGCATGAATTGCCCTGACATAGTTGGTTTGGAATGTACATCCTCCGCTTGTACAAGGTGCTTTGCCTACATTTGTTCCTCTTGACCCGGATCTATTTTTTCTGCTGGCTGGCAGTGCTGGGGTAAGAATATGTGTAATTGCCGGACCATCAAGTAAAACAATATCACAGCTGCCAACCATTCCTATTTTTGGAGGAATGGTTCCTATTTTTGGCCTTCAAACTTATGATATGAACCCTAGAATATTTACTCTTTCTGAAATCTTCTGTGTAAACAGTATACAAAATAGAATCATTCCTGATATTGTCTAGAGAGATCCTGCTTTTTATGTTAAAGGTTGGCAGGTATGCAATATTAATGATCCTGATGAAGCTAAACTGGGTAGTGAGTACAACTTTATTATTATAATTTATTTGTTATACTTCTCTTGATTTTCTTGTTTGATGAGATTGTATTAGTAAACACTGTACATGTAGTTTGCTTTGATGCAGCTTATATCTCTCTAACATGAGGGCATTCACCCATGATACAGGACAAATTGACTTAATGGCTGCAATCAATATTCAACTCAGAAATCAGCTGCTAGAGTCAATAGTGGATGAATGATTGTCCATCCATGCATGCATCCATGCACGGATATACTTACTCATGTGCTGATGTATGGGAGGTGGAAGAAAGCATCGCACAAAAACAGATTATATTCATGTTTTTGCCATTTCTTTCCTGGTTTTGTGGTGAGAATTCAAACCTGGTATGTAGCAAACAGTATTTGATGTACTTGATTATCTCCTCTTCTCTCTCCCCCTCTCCCTCCCCCTCTCTCTCCCACTCTCTCTCTTTTCAAATGCTTACTAATAATGAAATTAGATTTCATAGGACCTAGTGTATGATAAGTACATGTACAAGTTAATTCACTGTCTTGCTTTCACGCTTTTGCTGTCTGTCAATCTTTCAATCTTTCAAAATTTGGTTTTTCTCTAACTGTTCATGATGAATACAGAAGCGTATGTGTGTGTAGAGTGATACAGAGTGAGAAAGTATCTTGATATTATGAAATCTAGTTCTGATCAGCTTTGTTCAGTTTCATGAAGGGTTTAAGCCTGTACCGGTATATATCCCAATACTGTAGAGTTACAGTCCCCACATTTACAGATCCTGTATGGTTAGGACGAGAGATATGAGATGATTTATGGTGGAGACCGGTTGGTCATGATGAGATTGATGATATCGTCTATAGAGAGTGATGATCTGAGGTCAAACCGATCAGGGATATGTCTGGACTCGTTTGCTGTCCAATGAATCCATTCTAGACTGTAAGGTATTAGTGCTTTTATCTGAAGATTGAGAGAACCTTGTGATCGGTCAACCTTCTCAAGTAACCAGTCTGTCACATCATTAATTACAGTGACTTCAAGCCTTTTTTTATGGAGATGTGAAATTAGAAACGCTGACTCCTTCTTGAAATCCATCTCTTTTTTAATTCGGATCTAGGTGTATGGCTTAGGGTCAGATTGCTCAGTTTCACCCATAATCTTCTTGGGAAAAGACTTCATTTTGTTTTCATTGATATTTATGTTTATGTATGACTGTATGCACTTGTTCATGTTCTCAGGGTTGTAAGTCTCGAAGCATAATTGGTTCATTTGTGAGGAGGCAAGATGTTATGGGTTTGTTTGTTTAAACTCTATCCCGAAGCCCATCTTTATTCAGGTAGTCTACCTAGCAACTAAGGAATGACAAATATGGAAGACCCTTTTGAAAAGGGTTTTTAGTTAGACAAGGCAATACAGCTGCAGCAAATAACCATTAGAAGGCAATGTATGAATCCTCTCACTGTAGTATGTATGATGTTGGCTGCCTGGCTGAGAAGTGTAAGAGCTTAAAATTTATATAAACTTTAATCCATTCATCTTATCATATATGCATACAAATGTATTGTCAAGATGATGTTTGATGTCTTACAGGCTCGTGATACCCTTGAAGACACAGAACTTGAGCTTTATAGAATGGATAGCTGAGGCTAATCAGCGGATATGATGACAGAGTTAGCTTAAATCATTAATAATCATTTGTTTTGTTTGATGTCTTACAGGCTCGTGATACCCTTGAAGACACAGAACTTGAGCTTTATAGAATGAATAGCTGAGGCTAATCAGCGGATATGAGGACAGAGTTAGCTTAAATCATTAATAATCATTTGTTTTGTTTGATGTCTTACAGGCTCATGATACTCTTGAAGACACAGAACTTGAGCTTTATAGAATGAATAGCTGAGGCTAATCAGCGGATATGAGGACAGAGTTAGCTTAAATCATTAATAATCATTTGTTTTGTTTGATGTCTTACAGGCTCATGATACTCTTGAAGACACAGAACTTGAGCTTTATAGAATGAATAGCTGAGGCTAATCAGCGGATATGATGACAGAGTTAGCTTAAATCATTAATAATCATTTGTTTTGTTTGATGTCTTACAGGCTCATGATACTCTTGAAGACACAGAACTCAAGCCACATAGAATGGATAGTCTAGGCCTAGCAGCGGATATCATGGCGGAGTTAACTCAAATCATTGGTTGTGATAATGGTGCTGCTGAGCTAGCTGGTATACTACAAGATCTTAACTTTATTGTAAGTATTCATTTTTATTGCTGTTAAGTTAATAAGCAATTGTTAAAATCACATCAATGAAAGAAATCCCATTCCTCTTTAATAGGGATGTGTCCAAGTTTCTTAAAGGTGGTGCTGACATTCACGTCTGGTCCAGTCCTTTCTGTAAATTTGTAGAGTGCCAAAATCTAGTTGCCTAATCAAAGGAGCTGATGAGACTGGAAATATACTGTATATGCTGTCCATGATGGACCTAGGAAAGACTGGAGTACCATGTATATGCACTGAGCACTACTGTTGCCAAAGCTAAAGCAGGAAATGTCAAGAGTCTTTTGGAATCACATTGCTGAGAACTCATCAAATAATGAATCAGAGATAAGTTGTTCCTGGGTCAAACCAACATTAAATGCATGTTAAATGAAAATTCAATCCAACGAAACTTCAATCCTCTCCAACACTGGTCAATACAACCGTGCATGTTCAGAGATTGAACTGGAGTGTCATTAATATTCCATTGTTACCTGCATTCTTTCATTCAGTCGTTACTGAGAACACATGATGACATAGCAACAGGGAATCTGGGTTCATCTGAGTTTGAAGACCACACCCAAGATTACTACACCCCTGACTTCAACCCAACAGGGGATGCCATCCGCATGGTAGGCATCAGGAAGTCTAGGGATGAACCACTGGTAAGATTGGATTTCTCTTTAGATTGCTCCTCTTTCATGTTCTCGTTATCTCTCTCTCTATCTCTCCAATCCAATCCAATCCGAAAGGTATTTGATATAGTGCCTTTTAATCGTAGTTACAAAGCGCTGCACCCCCTGCTCCATTCCTCTGTCTCTCTTTCTCTCTCTCCTTCATTGTATTTCTCCCTATCTCTTTCCTTCTCTCCCCCTCTCTTTCCTGTTTCTTAAAGTCATCAACTCTTCTAAATGTTGTCTCTCCCTTAGGTTAAGTCTTAGCTAAAGTGATTATCTATAAATTTCAATAGAAAGATAAATCACTTATCAAGATAAGTCTCATATACGTAAATGTTCCTGAGGCTTAGGTTTAGATCAACTTAGCAAGCAAATTTTAAACTGAATATACTCTTATTGCCTATCATGCATCCATCTTCCCATAGAGAAGTGTATTGTAGCAGCTAGTCCATAATGGGCATGCCCTCCACTTTCTATGATTTCTCTAAGAACTTGCACCTGTTGTAAACAATGATATACATGTAAAGTGGATGGATAATAATGATAGTATTGACTAGCTCATTATTTGTATGACATGACACGATATTGCCCAAGAATAATCATATCGCCCTCAGGATTATTCTTTTCAAAGACCGCTCCCAGCCAGTCAATGTAGTACACATATATTTCATCCCCTTCTCGAGTCACGACACCACAACGTTCACTCTTGATTAGCTTGTCCCAATCCAGTGTTGGATGCATTGCATCTTGCAGGAGGTCCATGCTTCCAGATCTTCTTGGGTGCAAGGGTCTGATAGATGTGGGCAGGCTAGGAGATGTCTTCATGATAATGATATATTATTTTTTCTTTCTCTCAGGGTGTTACATTTAAGGTAGAGGATGGAGAGATAGTAGTAGCTAGAATATTACATGGAAGCATCATTGATAAACAAGGTAAGCTCATATCATCATAGCTCTGATAATAAGTCATAATGGTTTGGCATGAAACTATAGTTGCATCATATTCTAGATTCATTTGATAACCAAAAATTATATACTCATGTAATTGATTTGAAACACAACAAACATGTAAACTTGAAACAAGGCAAAGCTTTGTAACTATAATAACAAGAGACCATACAAGTTATATTGACTTGTTTCTTCTACCCATCATCAAGGAATGCTTTGTAATAAATGTTCTCTTTGAAGCCATATGAAGTAAACAATGCAGTAAATACAATGAAGGTACCTAGAAAGAAACCTTGACTTGAGAAATACACTGAGGGACAGTATTTTTATAATTCTATCTGATAGAAAGGAAAGTGCAGGAGAATGCAGAAAGATATACATGTGATTTTCAGTTTTCAGGAACATCCATGTAAAGTGTGTAGTATGAATACCCTTTAGCTCCAGAGAGTGGAGATGGTGCACAGTTTGTGTGTGGGCTTTCTTAGATATAGATTAGTCTTTTTCACTAGATTCAAAGCAGTTGAATCATTCCTATGGTGTTAAAATATACTTTAAGCAGTAAGATACTACAAATGTTTAATGATCAACTATTTTCTTGCTTGATTTGGTCGTAGGTTTATTACATGTAGGTGATATCATTCAAGAGGTGAATGATCAAGATGTAAGCAACGACCCAGACCTATTGAGGAAACATATCAAGAAAGCAGAAGGGAGAGTCACATTGAAGATTCGTCCAAGCTATCAAGACTGTATTATGTTACCTCCAGTGAGTATAATTATCACATCTGCCGACCAACCATTGTGGTCACTCCTGTTTCCTCTCTAGAGTAGTGGGTGGTCTGCACATTTGACCCTCTTGTTGGCTCCCAACCATTGGTGATTCCTCTGGAGATGACTGATATATACTGATCAAACCTCAACAACCACAGCTCAGCTCCTCTTACAGCTCTTCTTGCATTTCAAAGAATTTGTATTTGTATTTTGTTGACCCTGTAAGTTCTAAGAACAGATCTATTTCAATGATTTGCAGTGTATTCAGAGTAAAAATAGCCATGTCTTCAGTTGTACACATGTACATGTAGTTACAGAACTGCAATATTGTTGTATTGTCTTGGTATATGAACAGGACAAGAAAAATTGATAGCCAAGTATATTCATAGATTGTAAAATGTACCTAAAATACCAGAAAATTTGATATATTTCCAATATTTCTCAGCGTTATAATAATAAAAAAACTTTTATTCCATGAGGCAAGATTTTTTTCTAGTGAGATATTTCATCTCATTTTATTTATGTACGTAGTACAAAGTAATTGATTCACAATTTAGCTGAAAGTTGTATGTTTAATGATCTTTTGTCTATTTTACCATGCATTGTTTCTCTGCCCAGATTTATGTGCGTGCATTCTTTGACTACGATCCTTCCCAAGACACCTTGTTGCCATGTCAGGAGGTTGGCTTGCCATTCAGGAGAGGAGATATCCTGTGTGTGGTGGAGAGAGATGATATGGAATGGTGGCAGGTAAGGTCATGAGGTCAAAGGGCAACAACACGGGGAGGTCAAAGTGCATGGCTAAACCTAATTTGAGATCTGTACTAGGAGTTATTTGTAGGCATAGAAAGAGCAAGTTTTGGTCACAATATAAGTTAACGTTCGGTGGTTTTATTTTATTTTAATATATCTAACAATGCATTAAGAAGGCAATTGTGAATGGATGTTGAACTGCTATGAACAGTTGAGCGTTTTTTCTCTAACAACCTATTGGTTTTTACAAGTATGAAAGGATGTTAATTTCAATCACTTTGGCACCTGTTGAAGTGTTACATGTATGTGTCATTCTTTAATCTTTGATGATATCTTTTCTCTCCGTCTGTATCATGTAAATTTAAGTATATGAAACTATTCAGCAGCTGTGTGTATATTCAAAAGATGACTACCTCATACTGGATTTCCTCAATAATCAGACATTTGCAATGATTTTAAGTTTGTAATAGTCCTTCTGAACATTGTAGGATAGTTCCTTTCTGACATCACATTTATGAGGTATTGTTCGTGTTTGTATTCAGGCCTATGTAGTAGGAGAGGAAGGACAGTCAGGTCTTATACCAAGCCAAGATCTAGAGGAAAGAAGGAGAGCGTTTGTACCTCATGAAAACATCTATACAAGTGAATTTAGTAAGTAAATGTAGAATAATAACATATATAATACATAGCCAGGCTACTATATGAATATAATCTACTGCACTTGATACAAAGTAACACATTTATTGTGTATACATGAATGTATTTGGAATGTTAATTTGATAATCTCATAGAATAAACGGGCGGCACCTAGTCGTAGCAAGCATAAATTAAAAGGTAATTTGTTTTCTGATGGTATTTTAATGCTTTATTAAGGAGACATTTACTATATATGATTCTACAAAGATTCATCATATTGAGAAAGCGAAAGTGTAAAAGAAAACATGCAATTTATGCTCATTTTTAGCCTGTTTATTCTTCATACATGTACTTCTTAACCATTTACCTACAGAATGTCAGGTAAAGTTCTTTAATGATTGTAGCTGTACATATATTTTCTTTCTCCAAGTGATTGGTACACTTTAAAATCTAAACTAATAATCTCTACTGATTTGTTTGTAGTTGCCTGTGGATTGGTGAAATCAAAGAAGAAGAAACGTGAGAAGTACGAGACGAGAAAGAATCATCAGTTTGACCGATCGGACATCGTGATCTATGAAGAGGTTCAAGAGATGCCACCGTTTCAGAGGAAGACCATCGTTCTTCTTGGTGCTCAAGGGGTTGGTAGAAGGACGCTCAAGAACAGACTCATAGAACATGATTCATCCAAGTTTGATGTACCTATTGCACGTGAGTATTCTTCTATGTGTACGTAATGTACAGTGCGTCCCAGAAAAAACGAAACCGAGAACTATCAATGTTTTATCATAACTTAATCACAAGTATATTTAATAAATGACACATATTTGTAAAGCTTAGATCCTCCTCTTTCATCTGATGCAACTCATATGATGCATATTTCACAAAGAAGACGAAAGACTTGATAGGACGCACTGTATAGTTTCTCGAAGGGTATTGATTTTTGTGTTACTTTGAATAGCATTCCGCATTTATCAAGAGGCTGTATTCCTTGAAACTGACATTGAACTTTTGAGACACATCTTAGGGCAAGGGGTACGAGGAACTAGGAGTGGCAGGTAATGGCACAATACATGAAAGTAATATTTGTAAAAGTTTTATTCATTTCTGCTGTGAGTCAAAGAAATCCAACCATGTGTATGTATTCGGAAATGCAGTGTGCTTGATTTCTTGTTCCAAGTTCCAAGATTTTGGCAGTAAGGCACTCTAGGACAGCAGCCATGTAGATAGGAGCTCCACTGCCAACCCTCTCCCTCTGGTTAATGGCCATTCCACAAGTTGTATTATTTGTTATTGCATCCACTTATATCTGCCATGAATATGACGTGAAAGCCGATATGATTACATTTCTTCAGCCTTCTTCTTCTTTACGTGCCATGTCCTGAGACGTTGGGGACCATGGAATGCCACAACTCTCTGTCCCATATTCTATAAAGTAATTCATTCTCCCCAAGATCAATTCCACTTTCAGAAATCCCACTCCTTCAGCTACTCATCCACAGAATCCTACTTCTACCCCTACTCCTCCTTCCCTCTAATTCTTCCAGTCAGTGCTAGATTTTCCAAACCATTCTTTCGAATAACATGACCCTTCAGGCTTACATCATGGATTCTGAGTGACTGATTGCTTGTTTGATTGTGTTTCTCCCCATCTAGACACAACAAGGCTTCCAAGAGAGGGAGAGAAGAGCGGTGTTGAGTATCACTTCGTCCTTCGCAGTGATATGGAGCAAGACATCCTTAACCATAACTTCTTAGAGTACGGGGACTTTGCTAACAACCTCTATGGCACGACCTTTGACTCTATCCGAGCGGTCAAGCAGAAAGGTCAAATGTGTGTGCTAGATGTCAACCCTCAGGTAAAAGGTCATTCCGATTCAAGGAGGATTACTCGTTTATTGAAAGTATTTAGCCTGTGATATGTGGTAAATATATCTTATTTGTAACCTAACTTGGAGCTAACTAGACAGAGAATGAAAATTGAAGGAAGTTGTGTTTCTTCATCATTGTACTGATGAAGCGCACATAGTTAATGACTTTTCAAAGAGATAACTTTAGTTATTTCAAGATTATCGGAATATATGTATTTGCATGTTTCTAATATAACAATTTAGTAGTACAGAATTTACAGATATGATGGTAGTTTGATATATCTAAAATTATTATTGTACTAAGAATGCTTGTTTCTTTCCTACAGACACTAATGTCATCTAAATAATGCATTTTCAGTATTTTTTATTGTAATTTAAGATAACAGTATCTTAATTCTGTTAACCATATGATAAAATGTGCATGTATTAATGTGCCATCTATCATTTATCTCTTTGTTTTGTTACAGACATTGAAGCTGCTGAGGAACAGTGAATTCTTGCCTTATGTGGTGTTTGTATCATCCCCTGATCTAGAGACACTCAGGATATTACATGAAGCAGCAGCATCATCAGAAAAACAAGTCGATGTAGGTTCAGTTAAAGTGACACGTCCAAGGCATTATACGCTTCTATGTAGATTTTGAAATTTCTTCTTCTTCTTGTCCAAATCATTCTTTGTTTAATACACTTAACTGTGTATTACTATATCTCCATGTATTCTTGTGCAATATGAAACATTCTTGTACAGTGTAGTGAGCATCCAGCTCCAACTTGAAATACTTGAAAATACATTTTATTTTAATTCTCAGAGTTAATTCACTAATTTGAATGAGCATTGGGCAAAGTCATAATTGTAGACATAGTGTAGGTAACTTGTCTATGCAACAGGATTATAAATATGGATAATGGAAATTAAAAATGTACTCAGTTTAATCCTCACTACTATACTTCAAGTTCAAGATACAGTATTTTAGGCCATTGTATCAAGGTTATTCTGTCTTCTATTACTTATTAGGTATATTGTTGATTTTTAATTGAGTCTCATCTTGTTTCTCCTCCAGGATGCTGACTTGCAGAAGACGGTCGAGGAGAGCGCTCGTATCGAGAGACAGTACAGTCATCTCTTTGACTTCACCATAGTGAACAGTAATCTCAATGAATCATGTCAGCAGCTGTGTGGCGCCCTCACTGCTCTGGCTCATCAACGGCAATGGGTACCTATCGATTGGGTCTATGATGCTCCCTGACACCCACCCAAACAATGTATGGACAGTGGTGGAGATGGTGCACATAATAATTCCTCAATGCACTCACTGGTAGATGAGGAGGAATAGACACAGACTGAGCTACGCAGAGATGGTGGAGATGGTGCACATAATATTCCCTCAATGCACTCACTGGTAGATGAGGAGGGATGATCACACACTGGACTACGCAACATGCTGATAGGCACACACAGCAAAGACGATAGACACCAGAGACGTCAATGAAGAATCTAGTGAAGATGGTGCACACAATGTTTCTTCAATGCACTCACCTAAAGGACAATGGATTGGGATAAAACTACATACTATAGTTCAAGGCCACATGATTTACAGCAAAGAGCACAGGGAAGCAGAGAATGTGGTGATGGAGATAGTGCACACATTACTTGCACATTTAGTGATCCAAAGATTGGGAGAGGTTTGTAGTGAGCTGAGATTGCAAGGATTGCTCTTTACTAAGAGCCCCAAATAACCAGAATATGAAAATAATTATGATTTCTGCAACATTCTGTGAATTGTTCAGTTTGATAATTGTGTCTCTGATGGTTTAATCTTCCCTGGATTACATGGGGATAAATAGGCCTAGGTTCATATATACTCTAGAATTAAGTGATAGACCGAACTACCCAAAACCCAAATACATAAAACCAACCAAAACCCATCATTTTTCCTAACCGACCTTTTGCTAGCATCTTCCCATATATAAGCTATGTGAAATATTGCTAGTGTTTTTATCCCATTATTGTTTTGAGAATGTAATATACAGTGTAAACACTAATCATGCACCTTGATAAAACAAATATGTACAATAGACTTGAAAAGTGTTCAAAAGTTTCAAACTAACATTTGTATCAACATGACAAGATATCAAACTTTGTTAGATTCCCAAAAGGAATGTACAAAATTAAAAACTCTTTTCCTCTCTTCTAAAGAGGTAATCCATATGTTTTGACCAATGTATCATTTCATTCTCGAGTTAATGAATAGTGCTGAAATATTGAACTCTGTGTATATTTTCTTTACTAATGTATCGTCCACTCATGGTAGAAGTGCATATTTTAGTCTACCAGTGATCAAAGTATTGGTATTGATAGATCTGGGTTCAGGAAGAAATTATTACCTTTGGTAAGATGAATTTGAACAATTATTTGAAATGAAATGATATACAGAGTAGTAGTAAGGAATGAAAAGATAAGATTCTTTCATCCAATTCCCATGTAGTTAAGGAGCTAAATTCCTTTCTAAGTGAGATTTTAATAAACCTGCAAATAGACTTTTGTGACAATCTGTATTTCCTCAGGGTTTCGTTAGAGTTTGTATTCAATGTTAATATATGCAAGGTACATTTTTCTTTGATGTTGTATTAATATAATATTTTTTGTTACTGTGAAATAGTGTTAGACCTGTTTGTTGAGCTCATGTTGTGTATATTTTGGAGATGCATTTAGCTTGTCATGACACCTTCTAGTGCAATAGAACTTTAAAATAGAAAAAATAGAATAAATATGAATTTCTGCCCTGCTTTTAGCACCGAGTGTTAAAGTGGTTTAGAATTATGTAACCACAAGCTTTGACATGTCACCATGTTTATTATTTTAAATTATTATTTTATTTTCATCCTACATGTTATCCTGCATGTGCTTAAAAGCCCATGTACTTTTCATCTTTTTGTTGAAAGTCTAATTTTTTATATTGTCCACCTGCATTTAAGAATTATGCATACCAACAAGTAAAGACATACTAAAGCTTTTCATCTTGCACTCGTAAATCTCAATAATGTAAAGGAAGCCGAAATCAGGCAGTTGAGGTGGAAGCTAAAGGCACAAAGAAAGCAGGAAAATAACGCTCTGTTCCTTTAGCTTCTGCTCATAGTGTCTGATTTCAGCTTTCTGATCAATCTCGCGCTTTACTTCGATGAGAGCCAGACAAAAAGCTTTTAGTATGTCTATATTTGTTGGTATAATTGATTTTGATGTACAAATCATCTCTTTAATTCTTCATACATACGATGTACTTTTTAAAGGTTACAAGAAGGTCTATATCTGAAATGCTCAAATTGCTTACCTTTTTGGTGTTTAATAAAAACAAACAAAAAGTCAAGAAATAATTAGATTATCTTGTTAGCAAAACTTTTACATCTGAAATGTTTTAATATGTTCACATTCATTCAAGTCTGATGAAGACTTTTTATTGTTGAATTTCTTAAAGTCTAGAAAGTTTGTACATAATTGAGGAAATGAAATAGCAATTTTATTGAAATATGGACTATAGTTTTTAGTCTTTACACAGTGCCATTTGGAATATAGAAATCAAATTGGAAATAGTTATAAAAAATGAATGTTATCTGTTGTTGCTTGTTACTATGTTATCATTCACATGTTATGCACATTTTGCCTTGAGATTGTATTTTATATTTGTATATCAGCAATGTCTACTACTTTGTGAAGTGGAATCACAATTATTAATAATCTTCTTTTAGAGAAAAACGATTGTCTGAAGTTCATTGATCCATGCCATGTCAAATTCTGAGGCTAAAACGCATTGGAAGATAATTTTGAACTGCATGTGTCCAGCCATTTGGTTTACAGTAATTTATTATAGTTTATAGTAAGTTATTCCTTCTGTCAGCATTATAATGCACTAAAGTAATTTAGTGTGACGCACAAATCCATTTATTATTCACATCTGTTCGCTTGTGTATTATACACAGATGTCCCATTGCCCCAGATAATATGTACATGTAGGATCTGAGATCCAGCTATATATTCACCACAGAGATGGTATCAAAGACCTCAATAGTGCTTAGGTCTGCTTTTGTTTATTGCTTACACACACATCTTTTACATTGTCATCTGGTTATAGGAAGTGTAGGGTTTTTTGTGGTCTAGTGGAGAAGTCACAAATGACGGATCCTGAGGTATGGGGTCCTGCCTTATCACCATCATCCTTTGGCAAGCATTAATCTACATTTCCCACCCTCAAATTTATACAGGTATATGTAGACGAGGCAGCTGATATAATTTTTTTGCTTGCCTTATTACAAGAAATATGAACTTTTTATCATCCTGTTTGAAAAGATGTGCTGCATGTAGCTGCTGCATTTGAACTTATTATTGGACAGAATCCATTTTGCAATTTCTGAATCTGAATCTGAAAATCATACAGCTTAACACTAATGCTGGAGTGAAGTGAGTCCATCACTGAGCAGTACATTTATAAGTTAATGTTATAAAGCACAAAGACCATGAAAACTTGTAGTTCTCTGGTTGATAATACCCATGCAATATCTGACAGGGTTTGTAGAGGTCATGAGCATAATCATCATGTCTGCATGTAATGCGTCAAACTAAGTGATCATTATGTGGTGTGGGTAATCACATACAAATGAAGTCAAATCATTTTTATTCAGATTGGCTGCTTAGTAGTATAACTGGATATCATTTGTATTTCATTATTTATGACGGGTACAAGCTTTTTTATACTACGGAAAGTGGCAATTTAGTATGGGATTGTCAGTGAATTTTGCTTGAAATACGTGTAAATTGCAGATAGGGATGGCCTATGTTGACTTTTTACTATTTAAGGTATGCTGATGATTTTGCAAGTTAACATCCAGAATTTCAATTTTTCAGGTTTGAAATGATTTTCAAAGTTTAAAAGAATATACGCCTCGCCAGATAAGTGGTAGATGATAACAGTAATGAATAAAATTCATTTAGAATGTGTATTTAGGACAGATTATTGTGAATCTGTACAAAATAATTGTCACCAAAGTTTGTACAAGATTTTATTAGAATAAAATGACAAAATTAGACCAAATATAAAAACTTCTCTTGTGCATTATTTAACCAGTCCTACAACACATGCAGCTGCCACCATTGCTCTGCATTACATTTTCTACTCTAACCGAATTCCTAACTTTAACCCTTCCCCCAACACTACACCCTAACCTAAAACCCTATCCTAACTCTTACCTTGTACTTCTGAAGAAATATAAAGCCCTGAGTAAAGAGCAAATGTCTGATCGCCCTTATCGCATTTGTGAACACCACATACAACACTACAACGTACAATTTTTCTTTAGTTTCATCCTTTTTATTCCCTCATTTTCTTTTTTTCATATAGTATATGAAATGTACAATTCATATTTCAACAATCAACAAAATAACAGTCCAAGAAAGTTGGAAACCAGCTGTCACACCAAACCTGATGGCAATACTGAAACATCATTGAGTACTAAAAACTTACTGTTACTTGGGTCAATACAATCTTATCAATCTTCAATATAATGTAGGAATGAATTACACAAGACGGGGACCAGTAGGAAAGTGAAATGAACACAAATATTGTTGAACAATTCTTTTCAACAAAATATTGGAAACTAATACCATAGGTTTAAAAACCACAGCAGATATCATGGTAATATGAGTTCACAGAAATTAAAAATACATATCTTGCAAGCGAACTTTGGTTTTGTTGTTTAAAACAAAAAGCAACATACATGAAATTCTAACCATGTAAATTGATATCTTTCTAAAACTGATAATTGCACAAAAATTTCACAGTCATTAGAATTACAATGAGTTGTACAGTGCAATGAAAGTAATAAGTATAATTTAGATGAAGATCAGACAGTTTTTTTAAATATCAAACTTTGAAATGAAATTTATTGGATGTTCACATCCAATGTCATTAAGCTCTCTAAAAATAAAAAATAAATAATAAAAAAAATAAGAATACCGGTAAACAAATAAAGAATGAAAGTTTTGAAAATTTGATGTCTAGATCCCATTCGAGGCTGATGTATATGTAAATCCTTGGTCAATACCCAACACTATCCAAAGTATTAACTTCAATTCTAAACTAAACAACGTACCTAACACTAACCCTCATCCCAAAGTAGCATATTATCCGATTGAAACCCTCATCCTAATACTCTACACATTTGAGGAAATGGAGCCGAGAGCATTTGCAACCAGATCATACATTATTGGTGCACTAAGGACAAGGCTTATACATCATGTTTGTCAAACACTGTATTTGTCTCTACAATTAATTAACAGATGAATATTCTACAGAAACATATTTGGCATTGATAGTATGTATAAAATAAGAATTGTTAAAGACGAACACATTGGCATATGATGATAAAAGAAGTTTTATGCTTAACATCTCGCAAATATCTCACTCTTTCCTAACAAGAGGCTTAAAATTATCTGTATGTATATATATATATATATATATATATATATTTCGTCTGATCTTCCATTCTCAAAAATCATATCACATACATGTTCGTGATTCTATCATACCAGGGAAGTCATAAGATTCTATACAAATGCACCATTCAAAAAATAACCCATGTTCTATTCATAAAACAACAACAACAAAACATCTCAGTTTTAATTAAAACTTGAATCTATAAACTTGTCATTGCGTGCCTGGTAGGAGCATGCAATAGGATGTGCTAACAATGGATGTCAGAATTGTTTTCTGAGGTTTGGACAGTTCCCTTACTACATTGATGCAAAACACTTCAGTCTCTCTCTGCATCATCCATATTGAGAGCTGTAAAATCTAACATTTTAACAATTTGACAAACTTTGTTTTTGCACCCTTATGTCAGGCAAACAATGATATAATAGAGAAACGTCAACCTAGACGTGTAGACCTCTTAACAAAAACAAAACACTAAACACCATTAATACAATCCTGAACTTCTTAATTAAAAGAGCAAAATATCCAATAAATGCTTCTCTTATTTTCCATAAAATTAAAGCTGAACAATAGCACTACCAATCTAATTCTCGCTACCCTAAATAGGTACGAAAATCTCGAAATTCGCGAGACGAGGTAATTTTCACTCTCTCGGGTCGTCACTACAACTTCCGGTATAGAGTCCCATCCCGCTGGCGCTAGCGCCTGTGTTCGCTGTGCAGAGTTTTCACGCACGCTAAAATCGATGCCAATCAGTGTAATTTGTACAGATTATAATATGCAATGGAAAGCTTCGGGCAGAATTAGTGACTTTAGCACAAAAGGCCGTTAAACTCTACCGTGAAAGAGAGGGTTGTGATCACGAACGCCTGCACAGGAAGCTGTAATGTCGAAAAGCTATCCCATAATGCAATGCGCGTTTTCAGGATTTTCCCCGGATCTCGGCAGAATCGCTATTTGGGGTAGCGAGAATTGGAATATAATAGCAATATTTAATAGTGAAATACATATAAATATACTTTGAAGTAAAATGAAAGAGGGTGGCCAGTCATTTGATCTATCATAGCGACTAGGCTTTCTATATATTTTTTTTTCTACGCAAGAATGGCAAACCAAATACATGTAGATGATATAATTTTGACTACCGTACTACACTTTATGTTGGTATAACAAACGCACTCCCGAACTCTCACAGTCCACTTGATGCGAACCATTTCTCTTTATTGCTTGTATTGTTAGCCTTTCAAATCATTTGCAGCAGTAACACGTTTGTAATGGATACACTTTAATACAAGTATCTCATAAATGTACTGATATTTACATTTAACAGCACAAGAAAGCAGTACATCTTACATGTATATGATTACTGAATGCTTCATAGTAGAGTTTTACTTACAGGCAGTCACTCTCTGATATACTTCCCTGCATCCCAGCAAACTAAGGTATCATTTCACATATTAATGGTCATCAAATGATTTAAACCGTGCATAATGCCATCTTGTACTAAATTTGCATTCTAAATCAAATGCAAGGATAAACTAGCCCCTTACGACTGGTTTCAACTAAATATGTTTTTTGTCCATACGCAAAGAAAAGATTAGACATAATCATTGAACATATTTTTTCAGAGAGAAAGCCAATTCTGTATTAGTTTATATAGGTATTTGTTACTGTGCTATAAGCCACAAACTTCAATAAAACTTTTCAAGATATATAATGCAAAAGTACATTTAAAGGGCATCATTCAAGCTTAGTGTTACAAGAAATTAAAAGAGGTTATACATCAAATAATGCTAGCACATGTCTTACTGTTTTTAGTTGCTATCTTACATTATAGCGTTATACACTCAAAGGAATACAGTCATGTGACACAGGCAAGTACAACGTATGCCCTAATTTGGTACCAAGTTCTTTTGAATTTCACGACAGAATTGTGAACAAAAATTGATATTTAAACAGATCATTCATTCTATCTGATATATATGATAATAGTCAAATTTGACTGATTGCCATATAATACTGAATACAACAACATTCAATGTTTCATCTGATTTAAGCTTTAGTAGGGCTTTCAGCTCGATATAGTCATCAGATACACTCATGCACCTTAGATGCGGGCGGTCATGTTATTCAATTCAATTCAAATTTATTGAAATAGAATCCATAAGTTCGGATTATCTTCAATATGTTTTTGTAATCATTACTTTATTTCAAAATAAAGTATAGCAATGCATAGAACATTTTAGCCTGGACATGCCCATGTACCATATGTACTGTTTTTACCTCCATGTATACAATATACTGTCATAACCCTCTTAACATCCCTACGCATCATATCATGGTATACACTGTTCCTGCCCTCGTTTATAATCCTACATAAAATCTTGTATAAATGCATATAAATATAAATCATACAGATATATTGGTATAAAAATTCATACATGTAGTAATACAATATATATATACATGTATATGATTAATAAAACATAGACAATAATTCTTTGAAAAGCAAGACAATCATAAAATAATTTGAGAATTATTATTTTCTTTCAGCTCTGCTTGGACTTTTCTCAATGTCCCTCGTTTTTCACACAAAGACAATGAAAGCTGAAATAGATAGAAACAAGTTACAGCACAAGATAATTGATAGATGGAGAGGGCAAATAACAGCAGAAAATGTAATATAAAAGGGAGATTTATAGTTTCACTAGTGAAATGTTTAATAATGAATTCTTTAAAATGAAATTATTCCAAAAAAAAGAGATAAATCTAAATTGAGAGGGAATGAAGAGGAATAAAGAAGTGATGATTCAAAAAAGAAAATCCACTTTACAATTCAAATTGCCACCCCCCCCCCCCCCCAACCTCCAAAAAATATTCAAGACTGTAATCTTCTGACTTCATACAAGATATAAAATCACTGGATGTTCAGATGTTATTACCGGTACAAGGTTTCGGACATCATTAGTACTCTATTACATATATGCATATGTATAAACTTAAATACATACATGTATAGGGAAGTAAATCAAAGAGTACAGGTGAACTAATAAATATGTGTATACCATGTTTGACAAAATGTACAGTTGACAATGTAAAACCATGTAACCTGAAAAGATAGAGATCCTAATAAAGATTGCAAAGCGTAGGATAAATAAAGAGAAAATATCTTTCATAGGAGTGGTTAATGGCACTATATGGTACGGGATGGAATTTTACTATGAACATTATAATCACAACAAATATTTTTAAATTTCACTATTTTCTTTAATATGAACCAAATTTAACTAAAGATTTTAAATGTCACTTTATTGTAGAAGGGAAAATTGATCATAATATTCAATATAGGATATAGCGCAAAATGTATTCCTGGTAATCAACTTTGGACCTACTATACTAAAAGCAGAACAAAACTGAACCAAATATCATTCGCTACTAAACAATACACCATTGATGAATATGTATTGTCTACATTATCCCATCAAGCAAAGAAAGTGATCACCATTGACTTAAGACCCTATATACTTCCCTACATGACACAGTGACATGTGCTACAGAACGACGTTACACAGTGCAATCTAATTGTACAGGTGCTTGGGACGTTTGTTGATAAGGATTTGGATGGAATCACCAGTTGTTTGAAAATAAATGATTCCACATTTCAAACAAGAATCCAGCAAATATTAATCAATCAATGCATTAGGCTAGAACACATTGACCCAAATGGGATTTATACCAACCTCACTAAATCATCCCATTGGACATACCAAACTAGAGAATATTATCTACCTCACTGTCGTGGAGAGAGTCACAAAGACTTTCAAGAAATAAATCTAGGGCAATTTCAATACCTTCTTCTAATGCCTACATTGAAGACATAATTCGTCGCCTGGCTGGCAGAAGGGTGTTAGCTCGAATTTCAGGTAAAAAATGAAGCGCTAAGCAGAAGGGCGTTAGCACTAAATCGCCTCAAACTTTTATCAAACTGACTTATTTCTGAGAAAAAAATTGTGGCCGTGTTCTATTATAACATTTATTAGTCTTTTAAGTTTTAAACCAGTTTTCGGGACGGAAAACAGTTTAAATAAAAAACAATTATTTAAATTTGAATAATTTGAAAAGTAGTTTTCGAGTCGCTTGCGTGCTAACACCCTTCTGCCAGCCGGGCGACGATATGTTGATGTTTTCTACTCACTCATCCCAATAGGCAATACCCTAGGCTGTTGCACCTTACAAATTGTGGTATTGATTTACACTGTCCTTTATTCATATAATACTATGATCAACTACACCAAAAAGGTACTTTAAATGACAAGCAAAATACACACACCCAGACCCTGCTAGAGTTAATAAAAACTAAATACATTTAGGAAGGAGATTTCATACGTAGTTGATTTCCAATGTGTATCCTGGAGTCTCTGTCTGTCTACCACTGGAGTGATCCTACCCACAGGTGAACCTGGACACCCCTACATCAGAATAGTGCGATCCTTCCAGCTGTGAATAGAATGAGCCTACCGTACTTAGTGTGATCTTGGACACCCCTGTATCAGAATGGTGCGATCATTCCATTCAGTTACATGTCTTAGAAAGGAATGAGCCCGCCATCTTTCGGGTGAACGTGGACACCCCTACATAAGAGTAACTACCTTCCAATGTTGATTACCTATCTTAGCACAAAATAAGTCCACCCTACTAGGGTGAACTTGAACACCCCTATATCAGAATGGTGCAATCCTTCCAGCGGTGATTCCCTGCCTCAGAATAGAATGAGTCTGCTATTCTTAACATGATCTTGAACACCCCTGTGGTAGAATGGCTTGATCCTTCCTGTCGTGGTTCCCCGTCTCACAATGGAATGTTCCTTACCAGAGTTGAGTAAACTTCAAGGTGGCAAATCCAGTATCTTTCTTGAGATCCCAGTAGTCGTTCTTACACACCCATCTCTCCTTCTTCTCCTTCTTTCCTTCATGACTTAACCTGCCAATCAATCAAATCAAATCAAACTATTCAATCAAGTCTGTAGGAACAATGCTGTGTAACAAATCTACCTAAGTTTTGTGCTGAAAGTGTTCAACAACATTAAGCAGAAAGGTATATTGAATTTATGTTTTTAATTAATCTGTAAGAAAATAAAAAAAATTAGAAACAAAGAAAAGAATTAACAACTTTAACAAGTATATTTTTTAAAACATCAGCTCCACTTGAAAAATTAACATAACAGGAAGCAATACATTAATTATAATGTCACTATTTCAGTACACAAATTTCACATCACTGACAACAAAGATTGCTGTCTTCACTGTATACATGTACAATGTATACATCCACAGAAGAAAATGCCTTCACTGCTATGATTCTCAGACAATCCCCCTCAGTTGATGGGTAATACATACCTGAAGAATCTAGGTTGATATTCAATTCCTTGTTCTTCCCTGAGTTTTCTTCTTTCTCTTTGCATTGCTTCTAGTCTTTGTTTCTCAAGCTCAGCTCCCTTCAAATCACCTTCTTCTAATAATCTAACACAACAAGAAAAGAAATACATACTTTAATATCCATAGTCATCACCCTCTCTCTATTTTCTAACACTTCTGTAAACTTTTGATTTCTCTTCTATCTATCTACCTAGTCTTATATATCAATCAATCCATCTATCTGTCTGTCTGGATGTATGTCTGTTTATCTGTCTATCTATCTGTCTGCTTGTTTGTCTGTCTACATCTATCTGTCTGTCTGTCTGTTTGTATGTCCGTCTGTCTATCCGTCTATCTATCTTTCTATATATATATATATATATATATATATATATATATATATATATATATATATATATATCTATCTATCTATCTATATATCTATCTATCTTTCTATCTACATGTATCTATCTATCTATCTATCTTTCTATATATATATATATCTATCTATCTATCTATCTATATATCTATCTATCTATCTATCTATCTATCTATCTATCTTTCTATCTATCTATCTATCTATCTATCTTTCTATCTATCTATCTATCTATCTATCTATCTATCTATCTTTCTATATATATATATATATATCTATCTATCTATCTATCTATCTATATATATATATATATATATATATATATATATATATATATATATATATCTATCTTTCTATCTATCTATCTATCTTTCTATATATATATATATATATATATCTATCTATCTATCTTTCTATATATATATCTATCTATCTATCTATCTATCTTTCTATATATATATATATATATATCTATCTATCTTTCTATCTATCTATCTATCTATCTTTCTTTCTTTCTATCTATCTGTCTGTCTGTCTGTCTGTCTGTCTATATTTCTATCTATTCATTTATCTACATCTATTTATATATCTTTCTGTCCATCCTTTTCTGTCTGTTTATCTATCTTTCTATCTATTTCTCTTTCTATCTATCTGTCCATCTTACCTCTGATCAGGTCTGAATCTTGAGTCTGTAGGAGGTAGAGAGTCTTGGCTTTCATGGTCTAGTTCATTGAGTTCTATGGCAAACCTTGAGAACCCATAGTATATCTGATGATCTGAAGGCATGGAAGCTGTCAAGAAAAAACAAGAAATAAATTAGCCATTTTTAACTTTGTTTGATGGGAAATATGCATAGCTGGCAACCATGCATTAGTTGTCTTAAACAAATTAATATGATTACTATTATTTAGTGACTGGTCAATGTGTCTGTGTACTGTATCTCTTCATCTCACTATCTCTCTGTTTCTTCCCGCCCCCCCTCCCTCTCCCTCTCTCAATCTCTCTGCACCCACCCTGTCTCTCTCTCTCTCTTAATCTCTCTGCCCTCCTCTCCCTCCCTCCCTCCCCCTCTCTCTCTCTCATTCTTTCCCTCTCTTTCTGTTTTTCATTCATCTTTTTCTCTGCTTCTTTGTCTCTCTACACCTAGTAACCTGTATTTCTCACCTGCTCTCCAGACACATTTAGCTGATGCTGATCTACCGCAGTAGAGACCTTCATTCCACTTCCCAAACAGTTCATGAATCACTCGGCCTTCTTGATTCAAGATGACTCCTGTTACTTCATGTAATCTACTGCTCCAGAAACTTGCCTGAAAGCAATTCAAATCAACAGATTAATGAATGGGATCAAATACAAGTTAAGCAATACCATCTATGTCATTCATTTCTCAGGAAGCCTGCCTTAGAATAATCAAAGAAACACAATATCCTTATAATTTAATTGTTTGATATACAACATACATGAATAAAAACCAAATGAAAATAAAACCAAATGAGGATAAAACCAAATCTATTTTAGAAATGATAGAAAAATATATTTTTTTAAACCACAAAGGTATTTATGGGTTAAACCACACCTTTCAAAAAGTATGAAAAGAACATGCTGTATAAGCAAATTATAATTCTTCCAGATAGCTGTACAAACAAAGATATACACATTACTTTTACTCAGCTGATGTTCATTTTACTGAGTAGCAAAGATGTAAGTGTTTTTACAAAGTAACACTGAACATGACAAATTTCTACCTTTCACTGGAAAACAGGGATTTATTCTGTTTAAGGGATACGATTCTCAACAAATAATATCTGTTTCTAATAATTGCATCCAAAATTACCTTAGTGAATGTGAGTTTGCATGATATATCTCCGTTCTTAATGACAGTCTCTCCATAATGATCAACCCATCTCTCTCCACTCAGTATGTTATGAACACAGCTTGTCACTTTACTCAGAATGAAGTGATCATTGTACCTAGGGAAAAACATTGAAAACGGTAAAATATACATTAATAAATTCAGTACAGTTAATTTGCTTTAAAAAAACATGGTCTAAAAACAGCAAGAAGGACATTAACTCATGTAAATTGATAGAATTCATACCCTTTAGGATAAAATATATCATATTAGATGTATGAAGATATATGATCGCAGGTATAAAAATGAAAATAATAAGAGTATTTTTGTATAGTACTTGAGAAACTTCTTAGATAAAAATCAGAGTAATGCTCATTATAACTATATCATTTGAGTCAGATTACATGCAACACACACAAAACAAAAGATGATGTTTGTCAAAGTACTTGAAGAACCCATGGCACCACACTTCACTACATAAATGCCTATGGTCATTCATATGGTAAACATTCATAAACCCATCAAAGGGAGGATTGAAATTTTTCCATCTGACTGAAATGACTTCAGACTTCAACTGTTAAGCTAAGTACTGTTAAAGTAGAGAAGATGGATTGTGGGTTTCTCTAATGGAACACCACAATCTTCAGCGACAATTGCTCTTTCTTTTCATTCCTTAAAGGTAAAGACCAGTATTGAAAACGCCCCAATTTCAAAAAATGAAATGGAAGCTCTTATTACCAATCATGTGAAAGAATATGTTTTGACTAATACATGATGATAAAAATGTTGACGGGAAACCGCCTACTAATTGATATATTTGGTAAATTAGTGTATCTCTCGCCTGTTGAGAGATACAAATGCACATGTCGCGCACATTTGTGTAGTCCCATTTACATCTTTCTGTGTACAGTGATTCTAACTTTATGAAGACTTGGCCAAATTTCTTATCATTTTGATGATTCCAGCACCTTGCAGTACATCTACGCTAGATGATCAACCTTTTCTGATCGATTTCACAATGTTTCTTTCACAATGCAATTGCATGACCATAACTGGTCTTTAGCTTTAATCTAGGCTTAGACCCAACACTATATCACCACCCACACCATTCACAAGACCAACAACCACATTGCAAGCTAAACCCAAACCCTATACCTCTGATGAACATAGGCTAGGACAAATAACATCTGAGCAAATGTTGCATCATGGTCTGACAAGAGACAGATCACCGAGTATGTTGTCTCATGTGTGTTTGCACCGTCGCTGAGTAAATGCCGGCGGCACAGAAGCGTGTTTGCAGAACTCTACTTGCATAGGGATATCTGATCGGGGGCGATTTTGTGCAGGGAGACTTGCCTCCACTATGAATCTACCAATCTAATCATAATTTTTGCTGCCTACAAAGTGGGAAAAACTGATTTTCAAAAACAGTATGTATGATGGTGATGATAGTGATGATGATAATGACAAAAAGAAAAAGAGCAAGAGCAAGAGGAAGAGAAAGAATTAGAAGAAGAAGAAAAAGAGGACAAAGAAGAAATAAAGAAGATGAAGATAGAGATGATGATGAAGATGATGAAGATTTTTTTCTTCTTCTCTTTGCCTCTAATGAGGTGTATATTCCAATATTCAAACAACATGATAACACAAATAATTTAGCAAAACAATGGAACATCAATAATACACATAATATTTGTTCAAATATAACTACATGTAAGCAAATTTTCAGGAATTTAATACGGTATTTGATGATGAAGATGATGATTGATAATGATACTATTAAAAATACTAATCATAAAAACACAAACAACAACTTTACTGATTATAACGATAATACGAATTCTTCCATTTTAGCACAGCTACAATACAGATACACTGTATACTCCACTGAACCTCACAATGTATCATATTATCATCCAGACTGCTTACTTTGGTATGTGTATGTGAATGGTTCCTATGGGGATGACTTCCATGGATTTCCCCCAGAATTTGGTCTTTATCCTCACGTCCTGAGAGTAGATGAAGTTCTTGCTGTCACAATGGCAGGCTACGATGGGAGGATGGTGAGACACCTAGAGGAAGATAAGAAAAAGGAATGAATGTAAGATGTTTGCTCCAAGAATGATCTTTATCATCAGCAGCAACATGAACATCCATATCAACTGCTAATACCAGCATCATCTGCAAATTAGAACCATCACGATCAACATCTCCATCATCATCATTATCATCATCACCATTATCATCATCATCATCATCATTGCAATCAACATCATCATTATCAACATCATCATCATCATCATCACCGCAATCATCATCATCATCATCATCATCATCACCGCAATCATCATCATCATCATCATCATCATCATCATCATCATCATCATCATCACCACCATTAACATCATCTTCATCATCACCATCATCTTCATCATCACCATCACTATCAACATCATCATCACTATCATCACTATCACCACCAATATCTCCATCACCATCATCCTCATCACAGCCACCATCATGATAATCATCACCCTCACTATCACTACTATACATGACCATTATCATCATCACTCAAATAAAGGCTTCATCATATTCACAACTAACTCCAAAACCATCTCTCTTCTATAATCTCCTCACCTTCTCTGCAATAAACTTAAATCCCTTGTCATCCCTCACACACTCATAAGTCTCTCCTAGTAGTGGGTTAAAGGGCTTGGTCCCTGCCCTGGTAAACGTTGAGCTGTAACTAGACACAGCAAAGGCTGCAATGTACACCATCCTCATGAAGGGGTTATCGACCTCAGATGCCTTGTCCAAGAGTTCACTGTACTCTAGCTCTTCACACAGTACCTAAATCAAAGGTAAATCAAATCACAGAAAACATAGAATTTATCTCCAGATGAGAATCAAGGGTAAAAGTCTAATTTCCCGTACTGAACGCCGTAAAATCACTCTACTGGTATAGTGTACATAAGAGTTATACATAAGTACATAAATAGCAAGAAACATATACACTCCCTTAATATGCTCAGCTAATTTTGGAAAAAAGCTGCATTGAAATTGTGCTTCAAGTACATGTACAGGTACACCCAGGTAATCAATTAACTTTGCATGAGCACCCTAGCTACACCACATTGCACACACTGCCTTTTATTTGTATGTGAAACTGCATTTTGAAATTTAATGAATCTTGTTTAAATAGTAAAACCTTGATTCTAATAAATTCTCAATGGAGTGTTCAACCTGTTGACTATTAAATTTGTACAATCCCTAACCAGTCCACAGCAATCATTCTACATTTTAAGGTTTGGCTTTAATAATAACATTTCATTCAGAGCCCTAAAACACCAGATGCATGAGCAGAAAGGCCAAAACATTCTGCACACACTTTGTCCATTTTTGTTGCATGACCATCTTGCATTTGATGCCAGTACTTAAACAAAACAAAAAAAATCTTTAAAATCCTTAAATCAGCAACACTTTGAGAGATTCAAAATCATTGTGTTTTTTAAATAATTTTGTCCTCAATTTTTCAACAATTTCTACCTTTGATAGGCCTACTGTTTATTGAGACATCACATTTTATTAGAACAACGTAAGAATTAAAAAAATATATCATTGTAGCCAATTTCAAGAACAACATGTCTTCTTCTTCTTCTTCAAAATAATCTGCCTCCTTCACTGCTGAAGATTCTTGCAGATGTGTGCGAGTGCATGTGTGTTGCGACATGGGGATGTCCAGGTGTGCAGGTGAGAGGTGTATATATACATAGTGCCAGTAAAAAAACATTGCCGGAATTTACTTCCCCCCGGTCTTTAGTTGTCGCTGGAAGGCTTCCACTGATGGAGCCAGGACAACCTCAAGAGGGAGAGCGTTCCACTGTCGAACAGTGCGAGGAAAGAAGGAGTGAATATGTTGCTCTGTTCGTGACTGCATGACACGATAACAGTAAGGACGAGACGATCTTGTAGTTCTTACGACTGTTGCCGGTTGGATGTAGTGGTGGATGTCAAAGTCAACCAAAGAGTAGTGCATCTTGTACAGTAAAGTGAGACGTTGATGCTCTCTTCTCTTCTGGAGGGAGGTCCATCCAAGTTGACTCAGCATATCAGAGACGCTAGATGTATGATGATAGCGGTTGAGAACATATCTCGCTGCTCGTCTCTGGACCATCTCCAACTGGTTTACACATCTGATGGTGTGTGGATCCCAAACAGCACTCCCGTACTCAAGAAGAGGGCGAACGAGAGCCTGGTATGCAGTAGTCTTAAGCCGAGTGGAGTTGACACGCAGGTTCCTTCTAAGAAAGGCTAGGGTGTTGTTTGCCTTCTTGCAAGTGGCAGATACATGCTGTGTCCAGTTGAGGTCAGCAGTGAGAGTAATGCCAAGGTATTTGGCAGCTGACACAGACTCCAAGATTTCTCCGTTGAGTGAATAACGATGGACATACTTGGTCTTCTTCCTGGAGACAGTTATGACCTGGCATTTCTTTGGATTTAGTGCCATCATCCACTTGCTTGACCACCTACAAAGTTGATCAAGATCCTGCTGTAGCAAGTCTGCATCCTCAGGTGTCTGGATGGTATGGTACAGAACCGTGTCATCGGCGAAGAGTCTGACTTTCGTTGAAAGTTGGTTTGGCAGGTCATTTATGTAGAAAAGGAAGAGGCAGGGTCCGAGTACTGACCCTTGAGGCACACCTGACTGGACCTCTACCGTTGATGACGTATGACCATCTAGAACAACTTGCTGCTTACGGTTGGAGAGAAAACTGGATATCCAGTCAATGTTGTGGCCTCTCACACCATAGTATTCCATCTTCTTCAGAAGCCTCTGGTGACCAACCTTGTCGAAGGCTTTACTGAAGTCTGTGATTACTATGTCCGTCTGATTGTTGTCCTCCATGTTGTTCAAGAGGTCGGTGACAAAGCCAGTCAGTTGGAGTTCACACGACTTCTTAGCTTGGAAACCATGTTGAAGTGGGCAGAGGATACTGTTTCTGCGCGCATGACCCATGATGTTACTTGCAAATATGTGCTCCATCATTTTGCAGATGATACTTGTGAGAGAGATTGGGCGGTAATTCTCAGGATCTGTGATCTGTGATCAAATTAGCCCTTTAAAAATACTGTCCCGCTAGAGGTGTAATAAAGGTACTACCTGATTCCAATGTGCAAAGGGTTAATAATTCTTACCTGCAGCATACTGAGAGGTTCATTGAGTGCAACAGGCATGGAGATCTTGGATAGATCTTTACCAATATTCTTCTTGAGTATGTTCCATAGACTGAGCTGACTGGTATCAGGTTGAGGTGATGGAAGGTGTGTTCTACGGCCTGTATGTGACCGGGATGGTGCCTCTTCTCGTCCATTCTCCACTGTATAATCAACAAATGAAGAAAAATAATGAAAATAAAAATAAACAATCAATTTTTCAATAACAGTTTTTCCCAAAACTATGCCAAAAAAAATACACACATGAACAATAAAATACATACATAAAATCCATGGCATGATAAATATCAGATTATGTTTAAAAACACGTTTCGTAAGTAACATACCACAAGTAAATGTGTAAGCGGTAGTCATGAATAAAAGATGATTTTTCATGAACTACCACCAGTAAAAATAAAATGTATAAAAGAGATAATTATCTCAAAGATAGGGTTCGTTACACAATGAATAAATTCAATTTCATCCTATACAGATACACTACTATGAGCTTGCCTGGAAATGTGACGAGAAAAATACAATGCAAAATGTGAGTGTTGCGAACAATAACCTAGGAACCTGGGATATTCAAATTTAATACCAAATCAATTCCTTACCCACACACAAAACATCCTACAACACTCTACATCCAACATGTGGAAGACCATGATGAGCCCTTTCGGGACAGGAATGTTTTTGTTAGTGCTTAACTGATCACATACTTTAATGTCATTCAACAGATGACAACACAATATGTCCAGGTGGGGGGGGGGGGGGGCTGTTTCACAAAGACTAAGATCAAATTTAAGTTGGACTTAACTATGGCAGGCTGTTCATGCCAATGGTCGCTCTTACCATTATGATCTTTAGATAATGTTTTCCTTCAATAATGAATGATAAAAAATGTAAATTCTGTGGATTTGCGACCACGATTTGTACGTCCCTTGAGAGACCAATGCCAGTAAATGGTGAGAGCAAACAGTGGCATAAACGTCCAGCCATATTTAAGTCCAACTTTAAGTTGATCTTAGTCTTTGTGAAACACTCCCCAGAAATGTTTGCCCTTTCTTTTCATGCATCTGGTATATATATATATATATATAGATTTCTAGGGCTCTGAATCAATGGTCACTGAGCCAAAGCACAAAAGGCCGATCGTTGACCGATCAGGTGAAATTGAATAATAAATTTGGATCGCCGATCAATGAAAATGATCAGAAAATAATCAGTAGAGAAAAATGAAAAAGGAGAATGCCTTTTCAAGTTTTGGGCTATCAAATTCTAAAACAAAATGCATAGCTGGGATTATTTTGTCATTTAGGGTTGTTGTAGACCATGTTTGTTGATATTAAGTGTCTTTTCATGACTTTGAAATTAATAATATTATAAGAAAAGAGGTAAAACATGTGAGCTGTCATTTTGGATCATAATGTAGAGGTGCATTTTTTCCATTGCATTAATAATACATCATTTTTAACCGATACTTTTTGCCGATACCGATCAAAAGTGTGAGGGTGTCACTCTGATCTTCCGATCCGATCAAAGCCCCAACTTACAGGGTTAGGTGAGAGAAACTGCTTATCCTAGATGACTCTATAGTCTAGAAACCAACCTACTTTCATTACTCTATCTCCTAGGTGTGAAAGAGGACCAACTGAAGTAGTTATATTTACATGTATGATAGGTCAACATTGTAGAAGGCAAGTGTTAATGGGTTTATATCTTAAGGGCATAGGTCGACCAGCCAGCATACAGAAGATGAAATGAGCAGTTATATTATGTGACCTATAGATGTAAGACATCTACTCATAAACAGTCAATTTCAAGACTATAAAGTATTCATGAAACAATGTAGCTAGATTGCTCTTTGCTAGGATCAGCATGCAGACTTATATCACTCTTTCTATTGTTTTATAGCCAAGAGAGTGCATTGTTATCATGCATGTACGATCATGTCTGGATTTTACATTTATTTTTCAAATGAGAAACAATACTACTTGTCAAGACTGCATAATAATTTAATTTAAAAAAATGCAATCATATTTCAAAAACATGCAATTATATATATTTTTTAAAGGTGTAAGACCCACACCAGGTAAGAAAGAGACATACATGTAGGTCAAAATGAAACACAAAATTGGGAGAATGATAAAGAGAGAATGGCAGAGGAAATAATCAGAGAGAAAGAAAGAAAGTATTAACAAAAATCAAATCTAATTAATTCATTAATTTTACTTTGCAATGAAAAAAATATATAAATGACCAAAAATGTCAATTGAAAACAATAGCATATTCATAAAACATTAGGAGACATAACCATTAAAATATGTCAATATTAGGTACACAATATCACATGAGAGGGTAGCACCCAAAAAAGGGAGCCCTTATAAGAACGAAAGAAAGAGATAGGAAAGGGAAAGCGTGACAGAGATATCAGAAATAGAAATATTCAAGAATAATAATGAGAACAATTACGGTTAGAGATGATGAGACAACCAATCAGAGAGAAGAAACAAGATAATTAAAATGACTCCTGCCAACTGCAACTAGCCCGGATCCCTTCATACCCAGATCATTCAACCTGTATCTATTACAGTTCACTTGTTCTTCACTTTTGATCCTAAACAATACATGATTAAATTGTACATACATCTGAATAATAGGACCATTCAGGGGGAAATAGATTGTTAAAGAGGAGCGATTTGGCTTGTGCTCTTTTTAATGCGTTCAATTAACTTCCATGGAGGAACATGCCATTATCATCCTTTGATTGGTCATTCTATATAGAGAGAGAATTGGTATTTGTTTTCATTTGTTTTCTTGACATTTCACACAATTTTCACTACTATTTTCATCATAGTCAAAATTCATTTTTGAAAAGAACCTGTAAAAGGCATTAACCTCTGACATTTCATTTCTAAAGGTATATTACATGTATAGTGGTATTAATGGACATAAAATGTCAATACCTCATCTTCTAAAGAAAGCAGGCATCAAGCTTTGGGTAGTACGAGAAATAAAATATGAAGATGCAAGACATGCACCTGTAGACGAGGGTAGGTTTCTGCAATAATCTGATTGTGTCATGTTTGACGAGTGAGTCAATACACGGGTGTGAAGACAGTCATAGAGGGTGGGGAATGAGGTGGCGGCGTGAATGACAGAGAATTTGAAAAACATGAGAGGGAGAAGGGAGGGAAGAGGAAAGAAGGAGTGAGGGAGAGAGGGAAATAGAAGTAAATAGAAGGAAATGGTAGAGATAGGGAACAGGAGAGGGAAGAGGGAGGGGAGGAAGAGGAAAGAGGGAGTGAGAGAGAAGCAGGGAAAGAAAGGGAAAGAAAGGGAAGGGGAAGTGACAGGAGGGACAAAAGAGAGAGCGAAGGAGGGGAAAAGGAAGGAAAAGAGCGAGGGAAAGGGAGAAAAAGTTAAGGACAGAAGGAGGGAGGAAGGCAGGAATAGATGGCACAAGAGAAAGAGAACACAAGTGTGAGAGAGAAAGAGAAAAGTCAGGAGATAAAGAGAGAGAGAGTTTAGAAACTAAAATATAAAATTGATGCTCGTATACCACATAGATACTGTGTCCCCCCCCCCCCCCCCAAGTTTTGACACATGGAACACGGAGGGTGAGATACTAACAGATCTTTAATCAATTCATTACTTAAACAATAGTACACCCAGTTCAGTCAAATTTGTAGCTGTTTCATCCTTTCAAATCAAATATCATAGATCTCTGACATATCTGCTCTCTACAATACCTCCAAGCTCCAGTCTCAATCTCATAGCATGATAATATGTCCTACAAGATAATATATTCCTCCTGAAAATCCCTTTGCATTATTCCTCTCCTACTACTCAGATTAGTCGAGTCCCTTTGCCATTTGCCTCCATTTCCGGCTGACTCTGCGCATAATGTTCACAAATTTCCCCGGCCGGCCTGCAAGCCAGGCAGCATGCTGCCTGATCATAGGTGATCCCTGTCTTGCTTTCAAGCATACCCTAACAGGTCTGACTTCTATCTGTTAAGTGACTACATGCACCAAACCTACATACAATTATTAATGACCAATACAGGAACCATAATGCATCCACATCTAATATAGATAGCTGTGTGTGTGTGTGTATGTATGCTATTGCAACTGTGAAGCTATTTTCTAAACAAAATTTCTGATGATAAAATGATTTTAAAAAGGATTTGCCAATTTAATATGAGCAAACTGTTGCATTTTTATTGATCTGTAAGCTAAATCTCTATGGGAATGCTCTTCCACTGAAATCCCATCAGCAGAATACTTAAAACAAGTCTAAAGTCATACATCTCATCATTTCATAGCTAACTATTTGTTAAACACGCATTTCCCTCCTCTATTGTTGACCCCAATACAATATGTAAATCATTCTTCTCAATAGAGAGAGGGGGAGGGGGAGGGGATAGAGAGAGTGGAGGGGAGAGGGGGATGAGAGGGGGATGAGAGGGGGAAGAGGAGAGGGGAAGAGGAGAGAGGAGAGGAGAGAGGAGAGGAGAGGAGAGGAGAGAGAGGGGAGGAGATAGGGAGGGGAGAGGGGGAGGGAGAGAGGTGGTTAATATATGAAAAGTTAAGAAAATTTACAGACCGGTTCATCTAGCAAGCTTGCAAAACAGGTTTATACATCCCAGCCCAAGGAATGAATAAATAATGAAAGACACAGAGAAGCAACAATGAATCAATGCACTGCCCTTTCAAAATAGACAAGCTGTATTCATCATATCATTTGACAGAATTGGTCTACTATTTGTGGTGACTGATGATCCAGATATATTCAGTGTTAATATTGTTATGAAATTAACAATTATAATTGTATTAGAACAATCAATGTTTGAATTACAATTTAGCACTTTTTTTAAATCTTGGTTCTTCTCTCCCAAAATAAAGGTCCAAATCAAATGGAAAATGTGGAATCTGACTGCAGACAATGAAAAGGGACGTTCTATATTAACAAAACTGTACTGTACGGTGACAAAATGCCCATAAAAATATCTTACTATATATATATATAATATTTGTTTTACCTTACAATTCTACTACCCTATGTAATGAAGGAAAAATGCATCTCGTGCACGTTTTTCCACACAGTGACTCGTGTACATGTACTTCAATTAATTAGATTTCTTACTAACTGTTGCATACAA